ATACTGGCTGGCTACAAAAGCAAGGTCTTCTTTTAAGGCATCACCCATTTGTATGCCTACATAGTCCATATGCATCTTAGAAGGTAAACACACTGGAGGACAGCAACCCAGTGGTTTGTTTGGAAGGGTATTTAGTGCCCAATAATGAAGACAGATAGACAAAAGCTAAACTTTTCAGAGGATGAAATTCTTTTGAATCATACAGTCCATGAAATTTGACAATTGAACAATGTGACTGGATTTTCTGTGTCCCTACTATGGCCAAAAGACTGATAGTGCAGCACTGGAAAGATAAATGTATAGCTCCATTTATTCAATGGATTGAAGACTCAGTTGCACTTGCCACCTATGAAAGAATTGCCTATAGACATAGATTTTATATAGACAAGTATAATGAAATACGGGAGTCATTTATACAGAATACAGTAGGCTAAAAAAAAAGATGGTCATATAAACGTCTTAGAAATATATATGTATTTGAATAATATTTGCGTTAGACAAATACACATTGTCACTGTTCTTGTTATAATGACATATATTTTTCACATTTTTTTCACCTTTTGTTAAAGCACTTTTTGTGTGTGGGGGTTAATCTCTTTTATTTTTTGTGTGTGTATTATTATTAACAAGCAATAAAAATACGTTTTAAAAAGACAAAGGTAACCTTATGCAGTAAAGAGCTTCCCCGAAGGCTGAAGCAGTTCCTAGCGCAGAACCTCATCCATATTCTGGCAAACAGTTTTTTCATGAGTGGCCTTGCCCATTGTGGCAATCACTGTATGAATAGACTAATCTCTCCCATAGTATCACAGCCAGTTTGTTTTAATTGCCTGTAAGCATTTTCTCAAAATTCCAAATGTGCCTGCTGGCCTGAAAAGCTGTTTAATTATGCAATACAGTAGTTATGCAGCAAAACATCACAGGGATTCAAAATTTCAGCTTTGCTTTGTGTAAAGAGGGCCTTTTTAATTAAGGTCTCTCTCTTTTCTAACAGTTTTTAATGGCTTTTTTTCTTGACTAGAACAGAATGGTGAGGCTTCAAAGATTTGTTTATGGATAAGATATGAGGAGAAAAAAGTGTTGTTATTTTTAGAGAAAGGGATAAACTATATTATAATTCAGAGGAGATGAAGAGAAGATAAATTAATTTGTGGGACATCATTTGAAGGGATTAAATATTAATATTTTCAATTTGTTTTTTTCTAGTAGCTCTTAATGGATTTTTTTATTAAATTTGAGGAGATTTTAAAGATTTATTTATAGATATGAAATATTACCTGGGAATAAAGTTTTAGATAAAATGACAAGGTGTTGTGTAAAATACAAGAAAGAATTATGAATGACTTGTTTAAAAGATGGATGGATGGATGGATGGATATTTCTGGTAGTTCTTAATGGACTTTTGCTGATTAAGATTGAAAGATGGGGTTTTATTGCCATTAGATTAAAAAAATGAGATTATAGGATGAAGAGAGTTTTGGTTGAAATATTAGAGAATGTATTAAGTTTATAAATGTTTATACTTGTCTTGATTAAGGGAAAGGTTTTTTTTCTTTTCCTTTTGATATATTTTTCCTTCCCCACCCCTTTTCCCTTTTGCACTTTCTATTTTTATTGTTTATATTCTCTTTTGTATTAATTTCTTATCTGTAATTTTAAACTTCAATAAAAATGATTTTAAAAAAATTCAGCCTTGCATATATATATATATATATAAAGTGACATTTGTTACATGCAAATATCTGTAATATATGAGTGGTAGGGAAATTGGTGGGGAAAATGGTTGCATTGTAATTCCAGAAGGTCCTGGATGAAATGGATTATGTGGACCCATTCCAGTCAGGTTTTAGGCCATGGGACAGAAACAGCATCTCTTGAGGGAAATGGGCAGTTTAGAAACATGATAGATAGACAGACAGACAGACAGACAGACAGACAGACAGACAGACAGACAGACAGACAGACAAGTAAGTAAGTAAGTAAGTAAGTAAGTAAGTAAGTAAGTAAGTAAGTAAGTAAGTAAGTAAGTAAGTAAGTAAAGTAAGGAAGTTGCACTTGTGGATGATCTTTGATGAAAGCAGGATGGGGGTAGTGTATTCCTTGACCACTCAGCGGCTATCCTTTTGAGCCAACTAAGGGGTTTGGGGCTGGGTGGGCCAATATTGCCCTTACTCAATCCCTTTTTCCAAGGGCCAATCCCAACTGGTGTTGATAGGGAGCGAGCAGTCCAGCCCATGGCCATCCCTTTGGGAGTACCACAGGGCTTGGCACTCTCTGTTCCTTTTTAACATCTACATGAAACTCCTGGCCGAGATCGTCCAACACCATAGGATAAAGTATCAGCATACTGATGATATACAGCTTTAGACCTCCATCCCCCGTGATCCAGCCTCAGTGCCTGGAGGTTATAGGGCTCCAGATGGGGGACAACAGGCTTCAGCTGAATGCTGGCAAGACAGAGTAGCTGTGGGTGCAAAGAACCTCAGGATCCAGTTTATCATCTTTAGTTCTGGATGGGGTTGCACTACCCCAAACAAACCCGGTATGCAACCTGTGGGTTCTCCTGCACTCGTGATTACTGCCTAAGAGCAGGTGGCAGTCATGGCTAGGAGGACCCTTGTGCAATTTTATTTTGTCTGCCATTTGCACCTTCAATGGATTCTAAGGACCTTTGCATAGTCACTTATGCCTTTATTTCTCGGTTGGATTATTGCAATGTGCTCTACATGGGCCTACCCTTAAAGAGCATTCACAAGTTATAGCTGGTATAAAATGCAGCAGTTCCTGTAACACCATTGTTGTGCAAGCTGCATTGGTTACCAATTTGCTTCTGGGTCCAATTCAAGGTGTTATTACCTTTAAAAGTCCTATATAGCAGGGCTTTTCAACCTTTTCACCGATTGTATATATTCAAGTACCACCAGTCGCTTAGCAAAAACTTGATGACCCCCCCCCAAAAAAAGGAAAAAAGTGATAAAGTACTGGTAGTCCTCGACTTACAACAGTTTGCTTAGTGACCGTTCAAAGTTACTATAGCACTGAAAAAAGTGACTTATGATCATTTTTCACACTTATGATCGTTACAGCATCCCCAGGGTCATGTGATTTACATTTGGATGCTTGGCAACTGATTCATATTTATGATGGTCACAGTGTCCCAGCGTCATGTGATCCCCTTTTGCAACCTTTTGACAAGCAAAGTCAATGGCCGGAGGGGCGCCAGTTCAATGACACTCAAATCAGGGGGCAGGTGGGGCTGTGCGGGTGATCCGGGGATCTCTAGTTGGGGGTGGGATTGGGGTGGGCACCAGGGCATGGTCCACCAGAGGAGCCTCATCATCCCTCTTGGGCTGCGTGAGGGACTCTTAGATGGTGGCGCAGGCTGCCCGGAGCCCTGAGAGCAGAGAGCAAGTGCCCAGCCCAGCCCTCAAGCTCCCAGGGCATCAGGACCCTGCAGCCCAACCCAATCCAGCCTCACTTGCCCAAGGGGGCACCCGGCTGTACTTACCTCCTTGAGACTGCTGCTGCTGTACTCTCTCTCCTTGGCCAAGTTGCTCATGGTGGGTGCAGGAGGGCAAAGTGCATGGGTCAGAGGGAGGCCCACTCCCTCTTCATGTGAGGAGACCCAACTTTGTAACCAAAGCATCCTCAGTGATAGGATGGGAGACCACCAGGAGAGGCCAGGAGGAGGGGGCAAGGAGATGGCAAAAGGGCAGCAGGGCTGCTGGTGGCCAAGTGCTAAGGCAGGACTTTCCTCAGACCCTCCCTCCCTCTCTTTCCAACCTCCCTCCTCCCTCCCTCCCTCTTCTCCCTCCTTCCCTGCCTCCCTGCTTTTCATTTCCATCCTCCCTTTCTCATTCCTATCTCCTTCCTTCCCTTCCTTCCTGTTTCCCTCCCTGCATTCTTCACTGCCTCCCTCTTTCTTATTCCCATCTCCTTCCTCCCTCCCTTCGTGCCTCACCTCCAGCCGATGGTGCCTTTCTTCATTCCTCGTGGAGGGTGATCCCTCCCAGCTGTGTTTCTCCTGTTTTTCGCTGCCACCTGTGTGCAAGCTTGGCACGGATGGCTGCCATGAAGTTGTAGATCGGCTCTCAGCTGGCCTGTTTGATCTCCTTTCCTCTCTCCCCCCTCCTCCTTTTCCCTTCGGTGCAGCTCCAGCTGACTTCTCCTCCCTAGGGTGTGTCTTTTTTCTCTCTCCCGCCAAAACTGCCTCTTTTTATAGCCTCTCCTGTCTCCGTCCTCCTCCTCCTTTCTCTTCCGGGTGAGCCAGAAGTGCTGATCCTGGGGCCTTTGTCTCGCCTCAGCAGCTCCTGAGGACTCTCTCACAGCAAGTCCTGCACTGCACTGCTTTAGCTCGTTCCCTCCCCCGCTACACTTTGCTAGGCTAGGCAGGGTCACGTACCACCTGCCAGGTGCCAATATACCATTGGTATATAGCATGGGTCCTGGGGATCTGAAGAGCAATCTCATCCCAATGGAACTAACCTGCCCCAGTTGAGCCAGGTCTGCTACAGAACCTATCTGCTAAGGAATTTCAGCAGGCAGGGTCAAGAAGAAAAGCCTTTTCCACTGTGGTTCCGACCCTGCCCTGTGGAACATTCTGCATTGTAGGTGAAAACTGTCCCTATACTTTTGGCCTACTCGAAGATTATTAGAACTTCCTCCAGCGCTCACTCTTGGATTGTCTGGATTGTCCCTGCAACCAGTGGTGGGATTCAAATATGTGAACAACTGGTTCTCTGTGTGGATGCCACTTCCAGAAGTCCACTCTGGGCTTGGGCAACAAAAAATTAGCTACCGGTTCTGCAGAAGTGGTGCGAACCGGCTGAATCCCACCTCTGCCTGCAACCATATTGTTTGTAAAGAAACACTTTCATATTACATTGGTTCAGTTTTCCTTGCTGTATTTCCTATTCAACTGATGCAGTTATTAACTTCATAATATAGAATTGCATTCTATAGCTGTGCATACCGTTTATGTAAATTTTTTTCTCTTGAAGCTGAGGCCAGTCTTGGTGCTGATGACATATATGATGAAAGAGGATGTCAGTGTGATGTATCAGTAGAAGATCTAACCCCAGCACTTAGAACAGTTATCCGAGCTATCAGGTAAGAGAAATGTACACTTAAGATGTACTATTGATCTCATTAGCATGGTCTAACACACAGGTCAGCAGTCCCAGCCTCCTCTGCCATTTGCAGAGAGAGAGAGAGAGACAGACAGACAGACAGACAGAGAGGCACTTGGGCTTCCCTCTTCTCTCTCTCTCTCTCTCTCTCTCTCTCTCTCTGTGTGTGTGTGTGTGTGTGTGTGTGTGTGTGTGTGTGTGTAAAAAAGAGAGTAGCCTCACGCTGTTCCAACGAGCTGACAAGCTTATTAGGCAGGGCTCCTCCTTTTGCTGCGTCTCTGCAGGAAGGGCAGAAGAGAGCCAGCCCAATAATGTGTGTCAGCTTGTTGGAGAAGAGCCTGAAGCCAGTTTGCCATGGGAGCAGAAGATCGGAGAGAGGGAGGGAGAGAGAGAGAGAGGGAGAGAGAGGGGGGAGAGAGAGAGGGAGAGAGAGAGGGAGAGAGAGAGAGAGAGAACTCATGCATAGCAGCCTCTATTTCTTTTTAATTAAACTCTTCAATCAAGCTCCCCACCCCTTGCGTGCGCGCACAAGTTTTGCGGCTCCCAGTGTTTTCTTTTCTCTGGGAAATGGGCCCAAGTGGCTCTTTGAGTGTTTAAGGTTGCAGACCCCTGGTCTAACACTACATGTAAGACTTTTCATAAACAGATAATATAACAAAAGAACTGAACGGGGTTGGACAAGACAGGAGCTTTAAGTTCCCTTCCATTGCTAAGAATCTGTGATTATATAATGTACTGAACATCACTTACACATTGATGAGGAAACTGAATTTATTATATATCAGATCTGGGCACTTTTCAACTTCCCAGGCCACATCCAGCCTGCAGGATACAGGTAGTCCTAAGCTTACAATCATTAATTTAGCAACCATTTGAAGTTGCAACAACACTGAAAACAAATGACTTATGACCGGTGCTCTCATAGCTTCCCTTGCATTCATCTGATTGAATGATTTAATATTTAAAATGAGTAAGAATAAAAGTTTTCAGATCTCTACATGGTTTTTCCCTCATGCTATAGACTGCATTCGTTCTTCAAGGTAAGAATGTTCATAGAAAAATTCATTAGGTTAATTGGGAAGGTCTCGCCAACTATTTGGAGGGTTTACATAGGCATATTAATCATCAAAGCAATTACAGATGTTAATATCTCAAGTACTTTTTGCATGGTTGTCAATCGAAGAATTAGCATTCTTAACCAGTTTAGAATCTTGTTCAGTGTATACCACGGGTAGTCAATCTTGGCTCTTTTATGACTCGTGGACTTCAATTCCCAGAATTGCCAGGGTTGACTACCCCTGGTGTATACAGTATTATGAATGTAACCCCATTAGAATGAATTATTGTCAGCTTTTTAAATGCATAAAAGATATACGAATTACTGATTTGGGATAATATTCCTTCTATAGAATCATGAAATTTCATGTTGCCAAAAGGAAGTTTAAAGAAACTTTACGTCCCTATGATGTCAAAGATGTCATTGAACAGTATTCAGCAGGACACCTGGATATGCTGTACAGAATTAAAAGTCTTCAATCTCGGTAAGGGGACAAAAAGTCCTGATATAAAAGAGTCTCATCGTGTACATAATCTGAGTTATACAATTCAAGACACTTAATTTTTTTGTGGTAGTTATATTTCTTCTGGGTTTTTTTCATATTTCATTTTCATTTTTCATATGGTAGTCATATTTCATTCTGTTTATGTCCAGGATATGAGACCCCTAACATCCTGTTTCAACTTCTTCCCTCAAGATGATGCTATAGGGCATTGCACGCCAAAACAACCAGGCACAAATACAGTTTTTTTCCCCATGCCATCACTCTGCTAAACAACTAATTCCCACAATACTGTCTTATGCCCTGGGATGTCAAACCATTTAGTAGGGGCTGTGTTACTATTACTATTATCCTTCTCATCTTTCCTATAACCTATTTCCTTAGCTTCTTATGACTATAACTTTGTTGTTTGTATCTCATGCTTTTATTTAGTATCCTATTATGATTTATGTTGATTATTTAGTATCCTATGACTATCACTGAGTGCTGTATCTTATGATTTATGATTGTATTTTATGATTATGATCATGATTTATCACGTTGCTTGTATGTACACTGAGAGCTTATGCACCAGAGACAATAGTATTATTAAACTTTATCAACTCTGACCATCGGAAAGTTGCAAGCTGATTTTGACAGTTTCTTCCTAGTATACTCAGAGAGAAAAATCTGATATCAACAATTCATCTGTAGCAGAGTATTGTATATGGCAGAAACAAACACATTTGTTAGTCTTCTTGATCGCATTTAGTTAAACTATTTAAATTACATACATACATTTAGAAATGATCCCAATGGAAAGTATTAAAATAGTCATGTTAATGTCTGCCCTCAATAAAAATCTAAGTATATGTTTGCCTAATAATTAAAAATATATTTTACTAGGCCCCAAATTATTGCCTTTTGAAGCCTTTTATGCATATTTCTATATCTAATTGTCTTGCAGGGTTGATCAGATTCTTGGAAGGGGACAAATTACCACTGATAAAAAAAATCGAGAGAAAAATACTGTAGAGAATGAGACAACTGATGACCTTAGCATGTTAGGGCGCGTAGTCAAGGTGGAAAAACAGGTAAAGAGCATGAGGCTTCTTTAGGTTACTGAACAACAATTTCAGGAATAAAATTCATTGTTAATATTTGCTAGCTAATTTCCAGTTCTTCATGCAATAATACGACTGTACAAAATTATTTTATTGAACTCAAAAATGTCCATGGTATTTTGCACAATTTTATCACTGTACTATTATTATGGAATATACAGAGAATATTCATGCAATTTATATCCTACGTGATTCATAGAGACATCTCATGAATTTGCATGATTTTAGTATAATTTATTAGGGGTCAATTGGAATGAATGACAACTTGAACCATGTGTTTTTCATTAAAATTACCGTTTGCAAAAAAATGTAATGATTGAACAAAATTCAATTTTTTTCTTTGCAATATATTATTTAGTAATTAAAGATTACATACATACATACATACATACATACATACATATATATATATATATATACACACACACACACACACACACACACACACACACACACACTAGCTGTACCCGGTCACGCGTTGCTGTGGCTCAGTCTGGTTAAATGGAAAAGAAAGAAAAGAGAAAGCGCACGTTCATAATATGTTTAATTTCACAATGCTTGTGGGTATACAATATTTTTTGTTGTTCCATTGTCTGTGCAGATATAGAGATTGTCTGGTTTTGGCGCTGTTTTTCAAAAAAAGCATGTTTTTACCTGTCACAGGTGTGGCATCTATATAATAGTAGGTATATAAAAACACGCGTGTATTCGAATGCAACGTTGTGAATTTCAAAGCAATCGGTGAAGAACTTTCAGAGATTTAAGATTTTGAACAAACGAACATTTACATTTTTATTTATATATATAGAAATATATATATTTGTATATAGCAATATCATACATGATGAAATATGTACTGTAGGTTATAAATGTTATTTTAATGACATGAACCTTAGTTTATGAACATCAACGATCCTAAATATTTTTTTTCTTCTATCTCTAGGTACAATCCATTGAATCAAAATTAGATTCATTACTAGACATTTATCAACAGGTTTTGAAGAAAGGATCTGTGTCTGCATTGACTTTAGCTTCGTTTCAAATGCCGCCTTTTGAATGTGATCAAACCTCTGGTTATCAGAGTCCTGTAGATAGTAAAGATTTGTCTAATTCTGCTCAGACTAGTGGATCTGTTTCCAGATCAGCCAGTGTCAACATGCCATGTGGCCTACAGCTTATATTGACACCAAATGAATTCAACACTCAAGCTTACTATGCCTTTAGTCCAACTATGCATAGTCAAGCCACACAGATGCCAAGCGATGGATCTGTAACTCTGTCCACTAATAATGCACTAAACCAAATAAACCAGACATCTAAACCAACAGCACCCACTACATTACAGATACCCCCTTTTTCATCAGTAAAGCATATCAATAGGCTGGAGCCTATTAATTTTATTCCTGTTAACACACAGGAAAATACTCCTGATGTCACCACTTGCCTTGTTGCTTCAAAGGATAATGGACAAAGTGCACAGTCCAGTATGACAAAGGATCTTTCATGGAGAAAAAGCCTTGATACAGAGAGTGAACCTCTAGTCTCTGTGAAACCAATAGTACAAATGGATATAGGAAAATCACTGTCAGTACAAAACCTTATACAGTCAACAGCTGAAGAACTGAATCTACAGATTTCTGGAAGTGATACCAGTAGTTCAAGAAGTAGCCAAGAACTATATAGCAAATGGAGGGAATCAAAATTATTTATAACCGATGAAGATTTGGAAACGGAGAGAGAAAATGAAACTTTTGAAGCCATTACCCACCCATTAGTGGAAACAACTCTCTCTACTGACTCTCTAAGGACTGGAATGTCAAGATCATCTCAAAGTATTTGCAAGCCAGGAGACAGCACAGATGTTCTCAGCCTTCCTCACGTCAAACTTAAATAACATTTTGTTGGTTTTGTTCAAAGCTAAGTAATCCTTTCAGTCATACATATCAAGGCATGGACATTTTGAAAACCCTTTAATTATTTTTTAAAAAATAAATTAGTCCAGAAGAAAGGCACTTGTATGAGTCCATATATTTTAGTTGCATGTAAATGCATGTGTAGATGATGGAAAATATTCTAATTTATACCTACAGTACATTGGCATTTTCATTTAGTACAGCAGGTATAAATGAGTTACCAACAAAGTTCATGTTAGTTTTATTAAACATTTGGAAACCACTGAGTTTCTACAGCTCATAAGTAAATTTCAGATAATAGGAAAGAAATTTTGCCACTGGTTAAAAGCTATTTATTACCTGAATTAGATCATATCTATGTTTACAAGGGGGAGGGAGAGAGTACTATTTGCAGCTGCTAGTAAGAAAAACCCACAGTATGAGATTAGAAATGGCTGCTAGTTGCAAGATAAAATTATTCAGCTATTTTAGAAGAATTTTGATTTCTATATTCATTTGATGATGTAGGTACAAGATTGAATCAAAATATTTTGCACAGCACTTTTTTAGTTTTTTGTGACTGAATTATTATTATTACTACTACTACTCCTTCTTTACCTTCTCCTTCTATGAACTGTTCAAAATTCCAGATCATAATTGTTGATCTTCAGTGTGAAATTTTCTCTCTAACTTTCTAAATTCATAGATGATCTTGTGGATCTAAACTATATGCCAGAAATTCTGCAAGAAATAGATGTAATGCAATGTAATTATTATTTAAATTATTTTCTGTGACTGAGTGATAGCACAATGAAGTTAGCAAAAAAAGAGAAAGTAATGGATGAAATGGGGAGATAGAAGAAAAACGGTACATAAGAAAGGAAATAGTAATTATAATACAATTATAATTGTTATACAGCAAGGTTAGATAAATAATAAATTTGTTTAAAAATTAACATGTGCAGGATCAAGTGAGGCCTAAAGAACATAGAAAAGGAACTTAAAACCTTATAAACTGAAGACTGTTTATCTGTCCCCTCATAAAAAAAAGTCTAATAATCCAACTGATCTGATGGTGCTGAACATTACCTGTCAGGTATGTATTGACAAGAGCTGAAAGTCTGGTCTGTTTTTAGTATAAGAAACTAAAAACTAGTGCCTCCTCCTAATATATTTCTAGAAATATTCTCTTCCCGAATCCAATCCATACTACTCTGTGATACTGGCAGAAGATTTTTGTTCTTCTTCCAGACTCTCCTTTTTACTCCTGACAATACAAGGAGACAATACTAAACAAAATTACAATTTCATAGCTCTGTTTTGCCACTGAATTATTTTAAGAGCCTAATGCTGTTTTAATTGCTTTTCTTACTGATAAGCCAAATTTGCTATTGTATTCATTATTGATGTTCACACACACCCAAAGTACGTCATGAGCAACGTGTCTTCTGCTTGATATTCTCTCGATTCCAGAGGCATTCCACAAACTGAAAAGTGCTACTAGCTCAGTGTCTTGAGTCAGTCCTGCTCTGAAAGTGAAGTTATACATCAAAATATCACAAGAGTCTTAATCATGATTAAATGCTGCAGATTGTGCTACAAATTAAATTGTTTACTCCATTAATTTCTGCCTCTTTTTATATAGATAAACTGTCTGGATGTTAATCTTATTCTGTGAAAGTACTCATAAATTGTAACGTGTTTGTACTATTTCCTTCATATAAAGCTGATGAATGCTACTCGAGTTTTGGTTTGGTCAAAGCTCATATGATAATTTCCAGGGGAAGGTCTTGAAGCACATGGCCAGTCTTTTAATTTCTCACAGAATATTTTATTTTATAATTTCAATCTTGAAAGTTGATGTTGGCAGCATATTTGGCAACGTTTATAATAGAAACAGTTACTGAATGCCTCTGAACTAAGTTGCTCTTTTTCAGTTGACTCTGTCTACTCCAGCTGCCAAACCAAATGAAAGAGGGGTATTAATGAATTCTATAAGTCCTTGACTTACAATTTCCGTTGTAAGCAAGGTGGTTGTTAAAAAAGTTGCACTCAATTTTATGACCTTTTTCTGCTAGGGTTGTTAAGTTAATCACACAGTCATTTAAGGGTCTGGTTTCCTCCATAGATTTTGTTTATTGGGAAACCATTAGGAAAATCGTAAATCACAGGACCACAGGATGTTGCAACCTAAATACATGTAGGTTGCCAAGCACCTGAATTTTGATAAATGGCCAGTGGAGATACTGTGATGGTTTAAGTGCAAATACTGGTTGTAAGTCATTTTTTTTTCAGTGCTATTGCAACTCTGAACAGTCACTAAAGCAGGGGTAGGCAACCTCGGCTCTTTTATGACTCATGGACTTCAACTCCCAGAATTCCTGAGTCATGCTGACTCAGGAATTCTGGGAGTTGAAGTCCATGAGTCATAAAAGAGCCGAGGTTGCCTACCCCTGCACTAAAGGAATGGTTGTAAGTCAAGGACTTTAATATGGCTGTTTATAGGGATGAACAGTCTCTGCCCTTCCTCCCCTGTCAAACCTGAACCTACAGCTACTCATTCCCTTCTCAAATCTGGCAAAAATACCAAAACTACTTCCAAATTGGGGTGTACATGCTGTGTGTCCTGCCAAAGATTTTAAAAATATGGCAGTATTCTCTATAAAAGCCCTTCCCTCTTTCAATGTTTTATAGTGCCTTTTTATGCTTTATGTGTATTAGCCTAAATTTGCATTAAAGCTTCTCGGAAGAGCTAATGCAAAGGAAGAAGGCAAACAACCCATTCAGTGAGAAGTTTCCCTTTCTAAAAATACAGTTGAGAAAATTATCCTGCCATATATCTGCACGGACACCAACCAGCCTTCAGAGCTCCATTTCCAGTGTCAGCAGAGTAGTTTGCAGTTTGGTGATTCTCTGCTATTATTGCCTTAATTAAAAGACATGGCTGAGTCTTCATAATGTTAATTATGTATATAATGTCTGTGAAACTGAATGGCTCTTAAAGGGACACCAATCAGGAATATCTTTACAAACTTACAGCTAACATTTATATTACCCCAGCCCCTTGTTCATGGGAAGATTTTACAGGTAATGTTCCCAAAAAAAATCCTTTGCTTTTTTTTTTTTTTTTTACTGCTGAAGGTTTTTTTTAATGAATATATGTAAATTTTAACCTGAATATTAAATAGGAGAATAATGTTTCTGACTGTATCCTCAGGCTGGAATTCTTATACGTAGCTGGAATTCTTACAATGTTGAAATCCTTTTTCCTACCACAAATAACAAAATCAAAATTTAACAAAAATCCTTATTTAAGTATTTACTGAGCCCCTGTTGTGCCCTTTTCTGCCCAGGATTCTTCTTTTTTCTTGCTGAATATTACTATGATAATAAATGTGCAGTTAGGGATAAAGTGGGGAACAAAGCCAGTATTTCCACTAATATTCTAAGAGCCTTCCAGTATTTCTTACAATGCATTGCTGCATAAGAAAGCTATAAAAAGAACCTCACAAAATGGGAAAATCTATAAATCGAAGACAGGGGTCTTAATCAATCCAAGCCACCTCTAGGGGCTGACTGCGATCTGTAAGCAAGTGAATGCACCATTCTGCAGTGCAGAATAAACTGGCCCTGAATCATTTGGGGTGAGTCTGGAGGCCTGGTGAAGAGTCTCTTCATCCTTGATGTATACAAAGCTTTTAATTGTCCTGACCATATCTTTCAGCCTTATTAGGTAGACCAGACAGGACGCCATGACAAGATGAGCTAATTCTACTTTATTATAAAGCTACATCAGCAGAACCTTCAGCAAGTCTGAAAGTGACATTCTCCCTTCCTCTCCTTTACAGCAAGAAACTAGGGTCTCTTCTGAGTCTCTTCTGAGCCTCTTGCATACTCCATTATCCAGCTGCAGACTCTGCTGTCTCTCATCTGATCATTTCATAGGCAGCGTTCCTTGGCCCATTCTACCAAGGTTTTTCCCCATATGCCATTAAAATATAGCGTTCCTTGCTTGAAGAAGGAATCGAGTAGTTTATATTACATCCCTAACAAATATTTGTTTTTTTCTGGTTTGTATTTTATTTAACTATGAATAGCATTTTCCATTATAAGGCAGAGATCATACACTTTTACTAACACTGGTCAACTGTTTATTTATACAAGATTACATAAATCGACTGCTGTCATTAAATAGTGTGACAGTTACTTAATTGTCTTCTGTGACTAGGTAAATTATTATTATCTCTTAAAATGTGCTATATCTGGATTCAACCTTTGTTCTAAATAAATATTCCTATTTGTTTTCTCAATGTAACAGTTGTGCCCATTTAAAGTATAGAAGTTAAAACTTATTATTTTTGCTAAGCATATCTTTAATCTGAAAATGTTGGTATTCCAATTATTTCCTGAGGAAAATTAATACTTATGTTACATATGTCACATTGACTCTGAACATTAATGTACAAAATACCAAACAGGGATAAAGGGAATAAACTTTTTTTTACAAAATGCTGAAAAACGTAGAATTTAGGAGACAAAAGAAAATATGTAAGCAAAAGAATAAAGAAATATGAATCCGTTTTCTCCTATTTGAACTACAGTGAGTTAAACGGGACATACTTCATAGGCTGTACATTATATAAAAATATGTAGAATGAAAACCAGCTGAATTGTTCTTACTGAGACATTATAATAAAAGGTGATAATTAAGCAAAAAGATCAATAAAGGAGAATATTTGTAGCTCAGGGTTGAAATGAGGGATCCTTGGAGTTCTCTGAGCTTTCTTGCTTTCTTGCAGATGTTTCATTACCCAAACTAGGTAACATCATCAGTACTAGTAAGGAGTGCAGTTTATATTCTACTGACTTGCTCTGCCAATGTTGGTGGGGGTAGTCTTAGAGATTCTTTGGGTGGGCTGTTTGCTGTTGGCTTCTTTGGCAGTTTACTTGATTAACCTTGGAGTTAATCTATGCTGATCTGGTTGCTGATTGCTGGTGGAAA